GGCGGGGCAGGGCTGCCCGCGCCCGCCCCCCCCATTGCCCCCCCCCCCCCCAAGTCAGATCAGGCGCATCCCCAGGCAGCCCTGGGTGCTAGAGACGCGTTAAGAAGTGTCGTCTCGCAGGGCGACGGCTGTCCCTGCTCGAGAGAGACTTAAATGGGGAAGAAAGTGCTTTTTAAGGCCATCGACCCCTGTGTCGGACAAGCTGCCTGCTCCGCGCTCGGGCATCGTCCTGGGGTCGGCTCTTCTCGCCCCTCTGCACATCTTCAGGCCGCAAGGCTGATTTCCCGCTGTTGTTTTCAGTCCCTAGGGAACAGAAGAATACGAGTGGATGTTGCTGATCAAGCTCAGGATAAAGGTGAGCGTCCTGCTGGCTCGCGACCTTCCCTTCGCCTCGGCTGTCTCGGTAACCACGTCTTGCGCCGGGTTGGTGATCAGCCTGGTTAAGGAGGGACGAATCGCTGTCGTCACGACCCAGATCGCTGGGTCTGAGCCCTGCTCCAGGCCAGGGCACGGGCTTGGCTCCCGCCTGCGCGGCTGGAGGGCCCGGCAGGGATGTTTTGCCTGCCGACACTTATCTAATGATGTTGTGTTGGTTCCTCCCACGCCCCTGTGCTCTCCCTATCGCGCTAACCGACTCGGCCAAGGGCTTTTCAAAGCGTTGGTGGTTACTGCTGATACAGACTAGTGAATTCGGGGAGGCTGGGTTGCGCCCTCGCTCGATTCGCCACCGACGGCTGCTCTCCGCCCTGCGAGCTTAAATTTCCTTCCCTTCCCCGGCAGATCGGGACGATCGCTGCTTTGGCAGAGATCGGGATCGCTTCCGTGACTCGGAGAGGTTCGAGAGCGACTGGAGGGCCCGTCCTGCCACCACCGATAGCTTTGATGATTACCCGCCCCGCAGGGGCGACGACAGCTTCGGAGACAGTGAGTTGACAGAAAAATAGGTGTTCCTTCCGTTGCTGTCCTGAAACGGTGTCTGAGGGGACCTGAACGGTAACGAAGGAGCCGGGCTGTGGCTTCCCTCCGCTCCTCCCCTGGCAAGCAGATTTCCTGCGGGACTTGGTGGTTGCTTCCCCTGCGTCTGTAGCCCAGGGCCGAATCTGACGCATCTTTCCCTATGGACAGTTCTTCCTCCTTTCTGTTGTTTCCCCTGAAAATCCGCGTTATCTTGACGTCCGGGTGTGCTTTATTCTGCTCTGTCTGTGATCGGACGCTGACGGAGCGGCCACCCGGCTCGTTCCCCGGCTAGATTATTGTAAGGGCGAGCGGGTCAGCGCCGGCTCCCTTCTGGAGGACGGCAGTGGGATTTTCCTGCTTCCTTAAGGGATTTGTGACTCTCGTACAGTAACGAGCGCAGGAAAATCCTTGCCGGTGTCTGTCACCTGAGCGTTCAGGGTAAAACGGTGTGCCGGCTCCCTCCGAGCTGCCCCGCTCACCCTGGACCTGCCCCCCCCCCTTCTCCTGCCTCCAGGGTATCGGGATCGCTACGACGATCGGTATCGTGATGGTCCGCGGAGGGATATGGACCGTGGCTTTGGGGGCAGGGATCGCTACGACGACCGCAGCAGAGACTATGACCGAGGTAGGATGTTCCCGAAGGATTGCTGGGGCGGTGAGGGTGAGGCTCTGCCACGGCGGAGCCCAGCGTGGCCCAGTTCCCCTCCTGTAACTGGGGAGGGGCTGCGGAAGATGAGCTGTTGCTCTTCCTCTCCAGGCAACTTTAATCCCTGGCCTTGCGCTGGTCCCGACCGGAGCCCGAGTGTGACCCAGATTTTAAGGCCGTTGCGTTAGGAAGACGCTGGCCTGCAGGAAGGCCTCCTGCTCTGCTCCCCGCCGGCCCGGCGGGGATGGGGACTCAGCGGGAGGGGTTTCCTTTCCTCCCTCAGGCTACGATTCCAGGATAGGCAGCGGCGGAGGGCCTTTCGGCAGGGGGCTACCGCCGGGGGGAGGACTCCCACGG